CACCCTGGGGTTCTGACCAGGTCCAAGGTGGCCCCTGCCCTGCAAGTGGGAAGCCTCAGCCAGGCCCCAAGCACCTCACTCTAGCCCCTGTGAGGCCCGGCTTCTGCCCTCAGACCCCGGACCTCGCAGATGTAGCCAATCAGAGGAGGGGAAGAGGGTGCCCCCTAGCACCCATACAGGAGGCGAGCGCTGTGTTTCCCTCCAAGCCAGCCCCCTCGGATTCCAGCCCCTGAAATGGCTTCTGGGTTAAGCTTTTCAGGGCGGTGGTGGCGGGGAGCCCCCTTCTGCACACCACCTCCGACGCGCCGAGCTTGACTTCTGTCCCCTCTGCGCCTGCCCCATCTCAGGGACCATGACGTCTCATTCTCTCCCGCGCCCCCCACTGGCCGACCCCAGCGCAGGTCCCATCTGCCGCCCCCAGAATGCCCTGGGCATGTGCCACCAGCCGGTGGTCCCAGCATCCGTCCGTGCCCTCCCTCCGCCCCCCCGCACTGGGGGCTGCATGATTCTCTCCCCACACCAGATAGCATTGCATTGGGACAGGGCGGGGAACGTGTGTTTTCTCTCCCAAAAAATGCCTGCCCTTAACCCCCTTTTGGGGGGGCTTTTGAGGACCCAGACGGGTCAGAGGTTTAATCTTTTAAGTCTCCAGAAAGCTAAGCTTCAGCTATGGAATGCCTGGGGTCCCCCGCTCGTCCTCAGCTGTTCTTCAGGGCCTCTAGCTCCTCTCGCCACCCATCCGAGACCCTAGAAATAGGAGGAGCCATAACACTGGGGTGGAAGGCAGTGGCCCGGCCTCTGTGTCAGAGCTCTGTAGGGAACCTTCATGCCTTACTTATTTCTAGTGGATAAAGGGGTTTTCTTAAGTACATGCCTGACGCCCTGCAGACACCACCCTGCTCCAGGTGGCACTGTGAGAGGGCTGGCAGTTGGCTCCTGGTCACATCCCTGTAACTCAGAACCTTTTGTCCTTTAGGGCTGGGCAGCTCCTGGTTCTCCATGTGTCTGTCATCGAGGATGGAGGGGATGGGGTGGGGGCAAGAGCTTCATCCTATTCACACCCCAGCTCTGTAGCAGCCAGCCAACCAGCGTCACCTTTGGAATATACGTGAGACAAATATATTTACAGATGCTTTATTCTCTTGTTTAATAAAAAACTCACCAGTATTCTGAAAGCAGCAATGGCCCTGGAGCCACGGGTCCTGTGTCTGTGTGTCACACACATCTGCCTCCCATCATGCACCTGCAGGGAGTGGAAGCGACCTGAGCTGCACTCTCCAGCCCTGCACGTCTCCACTCAGTTCTCAGCCTGCCTCCCTTCTCGTCACCAAGACTGGCAGCCTAGCAGCTCCAAATAGTAGACCCAGACGTTTCTAAGGCATTGAAGCTTCTCTAAGAATTACTTCACCAGATCAGTATTTGAGTGTGGCTGTGCCAGGGGATACACGGTGAACAAAACAGCCAGGGTCTCTGTTCCCCTGGAGTATACATTCTGGTGTGGGGAGATCACCACAGATAAACATGTGATGGAAACATTGGGGCGGGAGGGCGGTGCTGTATCAGCTAGGTCGTGCATACTCAACGGGGAGGGGGGATATTGCCCCCAGGGGAGCAAAAATCGGTTCTTGGGGAATGAAATATCTTTTCTAATGTATACAAGTATACAGTCTACCTGTGGTAGTAAAATTTCCTGGGGGAGTGATTAGGGAAAAAAATGTCTAAATAGGCTCCTTTGTGGGGTGGGGGTGTCGTCATGAAAAGGTTGAGAAACACTGGTGGAGGGAGGTGGGGGTGCCCTGTGAAAGCTTTGACTATTTAGCTGATTCCTGAAGGCTGAGAAGGAATCAGAGTCCCTGGGTGGTACAAATGGTGAACACACTCAGCTGCTAACCATAAAGGTTGGAGGTTCGAGTCCACCCAGAGGTGCCTTGGAAGAAAGGCCTGGCAATCAACTTCCAAAAAATCAGCCACTGAAAACCCTCTGAGCACAGTTCTACTCTGACACACGTCGAGTTGCCATGAGTTGGAGTCAACTTCACAGCAGCTGGGTTTTTTTTCTGGTGGAGGAGGAACCAGCAATGGGAAAAGGCAGGAAGTATCGCTTGATGATTCTTTACCTTTCTTCCCCTCCTTTCTCTCTCCCCTACAAATGTCCCCTTGCTGAACCACCATCCCAGCCTTTGGAGGACCAAGGAGAAGAAGGGGAAAGCTGGCCTAAATATTCAGTGCCCACCTATTTAAGGGAACAGGTGGCACCTCAGGCCATTTCTCCCAGAAGGGCCCCCATTCTGGAAGGTTCACGTCAGCAGCAGGTGAGAGGAGCTTACCAGCTGCCCTTCTCTCCACCCCAGGACAGCTTGTCTCATCCTCTACTCTACCCTCCGCCTCTCCCAGAATCCAGGCCACCAGATGGCCCGAGCAGGCTGTGTTTATTTGGGGCCTTGGAAACCTGCAGCTTCCTTTTCCTATTGCTCTGGGTCAGCGTTGGGGCTGGAGCCCAGCCGCAGAGAAATGATGCCACAGAATGATTCTGACTGTGTGATTCATAATCCCTTAGCCTTCAACCTGAGTGAGTCCCTGGCTTTGCTCCCCTGAGCAGCTTATTCTAGTCACCATGGAGACACCTCTGTTCCCTCTGAGGTTTGGGGACTAAGGCAGACAGGGTGGGGACCCAGGGGACTCTACTTCCAGCCTAGAGCCCAAAAGGAGAATGTCAGTTGCCACTGCTTTCGTAGATTGGGCTTATAAAGCCAGTGCCTGGGAAGTGGTTTATTCCCTCCTAAAGACTTTGCCCTGGTGGCGCAGTGGTTAAGAATTCTGCTGTTAACCAAGCGGTCAGCAGTTCAAATCCACCAGCCTCTCCTTGGAACCCCTGTGAGGCAGTTCTACTCTGTCCTATAGGGTCATTATGAGTCGGAATGGACTCCACGGCATAGGGGGTAAAGACTTTGCCTGTTCCAATGATACTGAGAAGGTAAAGCCTTGATTTGATTACAGGCTCCTGTTTTAAACAGCCAGCATCCCCCGGGGATGTATTTTTCTAGGCAATTACGCTTTTTCCTAAAAATGGAACTCTTCATTAAGAGACAACCACTAGTATTACTAACATTTATTGAGCTCTCTTTTCATTACCACACTGTCCCTCAAGAAAGTAACTTCCTAGCTTTTAGCTGTTTTCAAACACCGCTTGAACCTTTTTCAGAACAAGAACTTCTCGGTTCTGGAGTTCATCATGCTTTAACAACCCTAGAAAAGGGCTGTGCTTAGCTTGTGGTTCTCTGATCTCTCTACCTTTTCTTCACCTAAGACTCCTAGTTAGAAGAAATCGCCATCACATTCCACAAGCTATTTCCCCCACAAGACTGGGACGGAGTGTCCCACTTTTTAAAACCCTTTCTGCGACCCGCCTCCCACTCCTTCCATATGGTATTTGTCCTACAAGAGTGTCTGAGTATAAACCATGATACACATGCTCAGTGGGATTTGATATAGGCCGCTTTGTGAAAACAGCCTGAAGGTACTAAAAGCCAGCTCTCCCAGAGCTCACCTTTCAAAAACACATTTCCACAAAATTCATGCTATCAGTATTTATTGGCTACCATGGGCCGCGTTCTAGGTGCTCAGGATACAGCAGCGAGCCCGGTGAGTGCCCTGTGCAGTTTACATTCTAGCTGGGGAAGAAGAAAAAAACCATTGCTGTAGAGTCAATTCTGACTCATGGGGACCCCACATGTCAGAGTACAACTGCTCCATAGGGTTTGGTTAAGAGCTCGGCCGCTAACCAAAAGATCAGCAGTTCGAATCCACCAGCTGTTCCCTGGAAACCCCACGGGGCAGTTCTACTTGGTCCTATAGGGTCGCTATGAGTCAGAATCGACTTGACAGCAACGGGTTTGGTTTTTTGGTTTAATCTTTGCAGAAGCAGATCACCAGTCCTATCTTCCATGGCACCGCTGGGCTAGGTCCAATGCCAACCGTTTGCACCATCTAGGGACCTTTCTAGCTGTGAGAAAAGATTGAAGTTGTCAAGGATTTCATTTTAATTGGATCCACAATCAACACTCATGGAAGCAGCAGTCAAGAAATCAAACAATGCATCGTATTGGGCAAATCTGCTGCAAAAGACCTCTTTTAAGTGTTAAAAAGCAAAGATGCCACCTAAGGTGCGCCTGACCCAAGCAAGTACTTTCAATGGCCTCATGTGCATGCAAAAGCTGGACAATGAATAATACCGAAGAACTGACGCCTTTGAATTATGGTGTTGGCGAAGAATCTTGAATGTATCATGGACTGCCAAAAGAACGCACAGATCTGTCTTGGAAGAAGTACAGCCAGAATGCTCCTTAGAAGGAAGGACGGCAAGACGTTTCACATACTTTGGATATGTTATCAGGAGGGACCAGACCCTGAAGAAGGACATCATGCTTGGTAAAGAAGAGGGTCAGTGAAAAAAGAAGACTCTCAAGATGGATTGACACAGTGGCTGCAACAATGGGCTCAAGCATAACAAGGATTGTGAGGATGGCACAGGACCGAGCAGTGTTTTGTTCTGTTGTACACAGGGTCGCTATGAGTCGGAATCGACTGAACGGCACCTAACAACAAAAATAACAGGTGGATCAGGGTAGGCCTCGTTGACAATATGAGATGGGGAAGAGCGATCCAGGCGGAAAGAATGACTCTGTAAGGGAAACAAGAAGTGGTGTTTCTGGGGAACACAGGATCCAAGGGGTTCTTTTCACTAGGAGGAGGCTCTCTAGAGAGCACGCTGTCTGGCCAACGTCATGCCCACTGCTGGAGCGGACGCCAGAGCGCTGACCAGGCCTCTCGCAGACGACCAACACCGAGCCTCTAAGAGTCGCCGCCAGAGAGCAACGCCGAGCCCAGCTCGCCTCCCTCCCTCGACGGGCGCTAAAAGTCACGCGGAACCAAAGTCCGAAAGAAACGCGAGCTGGCGGACAGCTGGTAGTAAGCGCCCACCGGAAGCGGCCGGGAGCCCCGGACATGGCGGCCGCTTGGTGCCTTCGCTGGGGCGTGAGCCGAGCCGGAGCCTGGCTGCTCCCGCCGCCTGCGTGCTGTCCCCGCCGGACTCTGCACAAGCAGGTAGACGGCGCCGAGTTCCAGAGCATCTACAGCCTGGACAAGCTCTACCCCGAATCTAACGGGCCGGACACCGCCTGGAAGGTCCCGGTGAGCCGAGAACCGGGGAACACGGAAGGGGCGTTTCCTTGCCGCTTCTGGGTGACGTCAGGAATCTGGGTTCGCATTGGCCTGGCCTGCAGCTGCGTCGAAGCCCTGCCATGCGCACCACGCGACGTTCGCCGCGCGGGGGAGCTGGTTACCCCAGCAACTGGGGCCTCGGTCTGGAGTGGGTGTCTTGGTGCCGGTTGTAGCTCGGGCTCTTTCCGCTTGGGGAGAGCCAACTGGATATGCTCCTTTCAAGGCCACCAGCTTTTCCGCGTTAGTTTCCCGGCCCACGGGCCCAAATTCCTGTCCCGAAGGCAAATGGGGTCATTCTGGTCCTCCAGGGTGGATAAGAAAGGCCAGAGCCTGCATACTTGTTTGCTAAATGGAAGATTACACTGCCCATAGCCTCTAGTAACCTCAACACGCCTGAGGAAGTAGAACCTATCCTTCATTCTTCCTGCATGCGTTTATTGACAGCCTACTGTGTGCAGCCACTGTATTGGGCCGGGGAGCTGGACAGCCAGGACCCCCCCACTTCCATTGAGCTTCCACTTGCATGACTTGAAGAGAATATTCGTTCATTCATTCATTCAGCAAACGTTTATTGAGAGCATGCTGTGTGCACTGCGCCGTGGCTGGATATAGAATAGTAAACAAAAGACAACGCTTATGGATCTTTTTACATTCCAGTGGAAGGAGACAGGCCAAAAATAAAATAATATAGAGTATGTGAGACAGTGCTAAGTGCCTTGGAGAAAAATAAAGCCCAGAAGGAAGCGGAGTGCTAAGGGTGAGTAAGGTTGTGTTTTTAAGTAGGATGGTGTGGAAAGGCCTCAGTGAGAAAGTGACATTTGAGTAAAGACCTGGCGAAAACAAGGCAGCTGGCTGTGAGAATAGCGGGGAGATGAACGTCCTAGGCAAAGGGAACAGCAAATCCAACCACCTCCTGTTGCCCAGGAAGGATCCGGTGGGCCACCAGGTTTGTTGCTCCAGGTTGGCAGAGGGTGTTCCTTTTGGAGTCTCCCTGATGTATATGTGCTGTGACTCCCTCCCTCCTAGGAGCCACGCCTCTGATGGTGACCAGCACAAACTCAGGCTGGGGCAGGCAAGGCTGGAGAGGTCAGTCCATTTCCCTGGAAAAGTGTTTCTAAGGTGACCTCTGGAGACTGGGGATACTTTATCCATCATTCTGATAGGATGAGTTTGCTGGAGACCTGAAAATAGTAATGCCTATATGTGCATTGTGGCTTTATGTAATTTCTTTTGATGCCTTGGACCAAGCAGGAGTTACCCAGCAGAGAATATGTATTTAACTCTGTGTACGTTACTTTTCAGGATGATGCAAAGCAAGCCAACAACGACATTCCTATAGGTAAATAATTCTGCTTTACTAAAAAGCTGTCATTGCTCCCACCCCTCACATGCGCCGTGAAAGTACAGAAATTGTCTTTGGGAGTGCAAAAGTGGAGTCCTTGCAGCATCGTTCAGAATAGCAGATGGTACGGCTGCTCAGTGGAGTACCGTGCAGTGCACAGCATGGACGGAGAGCTCTGGGTGTGTTCGTGACATGGGACAATCTCTGCAATAGATCAGCTGATCATTACTTGAAAAAATAAGATGCAGTAGAGTATATATAGTATGCTACCATTTGTGCTTTGCATATATATGTATATATATATATACCAAAACCAAACCTGTTGCCATCAAGTTGATTCCGACTCATAGCGACCCTATAGGACAGAGTATATATATATATATGTACAGGTACATATATATGTATCTGAAGGGATATACAAGAAGCTCAATATAGTGACTGCCTTGGGGAGTAGAGAAGAAAGGACAAACCTGGCAGCTGGGGAACAGAAGTGGAAGCATTCTCCGCATAATCCATCACTTTAGAATTTTGTACCTATCAAGCAGGAGGCCAGGCCTGACAGATTTGGCTAGTAAAGAAACAGTGGGCCCTTTTAGATTCAGTTTATTACTTGCACAGTGAAGGGAAGAGTAGCCAAAGATGCAGCTCCCTGTGGCCTTGCTCAGGGCGACACGGAAATAAAAAATCTGGATGACCACAACCCAAGTGACAGACGGCCTGTGGCTGAGAAGCCAGGGCCATGCTGCAGCTCAGCAATTCTGTAGCCAGCAGCTGTGCCCCCAGGTTGCGGAGGGGTGTGTGCAAAAAGCCTCCTATCTCATCAGAACCTGAGGCGATGAGAAATTATCTCATGACGGCCTTCCAGGGGTGAGAGAGAGGGGCAAGTAGGAAATGGCGTGTAGCAGCCCCTCACAAGCCTCCCCTGCTCTCATGTTCTGGGAGGATCGCAAGACAGTCCCATGAAGAGTAGACTCAGTGCCTTTCAAGCCTTCCCTGCCAGGCCTATGTGGATACGTGTGAGGTTGCAAGGGTCCACGGGGGTCATTCCCTGCAGTCCCATGTGCATACAGCCTGTTCAGAAACAGAATTTAATCTGATTTTTCATAAAGAAGAAAGCCTCTCAGAAACGGTCTCCAGGTGGCTCACCGCCGTCCACCGAGGCCTGCTCTGTCCCCACCGTGCGGCATTCTTTGCCATCCAAACCTCTTGTGGTTCACCGTCTAGTCTCCGAGGTTTTCCCATTACTGTGCCTTCCTTGTGAGGATGGCGCAGGACCAGGCGGTGTTTCGTTCTGGTGTACGCAGGGTCGCTAACCAAGTCGGCGACAACTAACAACAACAGCGTGCCTGCCTTCCTTTCAGACCCTACAAGACCGCTTTCCATGAACTATAAAAATGGCAGAAGAAGTCTCATTTTACAGATGAACAAAAAACAAAACTGAGACCCAGAGAAGTGGTGGGACTTTGCCACGATCACAGTCAGTTAGTGACTGAGCCAGTGTTAGGAACTCAGGCTCCAGCTCCACACCAAGTGCTTACTAATTCAACAGCTGTTTCTCAACACTGACTGTCAGCTGGGCACTGGGACTACACAGTGAACACAGTAAATGAGACACAGCCCCTGCCCTCTTGGAGCTTATTGGGATTCCACATCTGCAACATTTTGAAATAAAACATTAAACTAAGTGTGTCCCTTAGTTTGAGCTTTTGAGAGAGTTCTTGCTTTAAAACAAACAGCAAAAAGCTAACATGGCGGGCAGCAGGTCTAGTGAAATGCCCTGGACCAGAAGCAGACAACCTGGGTTATGAGTTCACTCCCCTTGATATCTGTGTGACCTCGGGCAAGTCCCTGACTCTCGATTTGTTTTGGTTTTGACATCTCTAAGTAATCTCTAACTTGACTAATTTGAACATTACATGTATCCGTATAAACGCCATTTAAAGAGGGGTATTATGTGTAATGGGGACAGCTATATTGAAGGTAAATTAGCAGCAGTTTACACATTGTGCCCTGGGATAATCATATTTTTGGTTCTTCTGTTTTACAGATCGCTTGACAATATCTTACTGTCGGAGTAGTGGTCCTGGGGGGCAGAATGTTAATAAAGGTACAGGGCACCTTGTTGCTTCTTTTACTTTAAACCTCAGCTGGGAGACTGTCTCGAGGAGCTCCATGTTCTTATTCAAGTGAATAAAGGGATTTTTCAGCAGAAGCTTAAATTCTGCCAGCTTATAATAATCCTCTTTCCTCTTTTGAATGTGCTGATTCTCAGACTTTCAGCTATGGTTTGCTAGGACTGGGATTGGCTTTCGAGTCTAAACAAAGGAAATCACAGCGTGAGTTGGCAGCCAGCTCCCAGAACAGGTTTCCTTCATCCTCATGGAGCCCATTCCTCCTATTCTTTTCAGAGCCCAGTGAAACTGTAAGAGAAGCACTGAAAATTTAGTTACCGGAAGTTTATTTCTGTCCAAAAGCTCCTCACTGTCTTTGCAGGCTTATTGCATGGCCAACTTTGTAGCCCCAAGCTAACACAGGATAGAAATGTACATCGTGAGATGTCTCATCTCTCTTTGTTTCTGGATGGTCACCAGCCCCCCACTGAGAGGCTCAGTGACCTGTGTCCCCTCTCCCTTTCATCCACAGTGAATTCCAAGGCTGAAGTCAGGTTCCATTTGGCCACCGCCGACTGGATTGCAGAACCCGTGCGGCAGAAGATTGCCATCACGGTAATCAGCGTCCCCTTTCCCCATAATCCCTCAGTGGCTTTTAACTCTTTACTCTGCAGGACTCTGGCTTTTCCTTTATTCTCTGCAGCATAAAAATAAGATCAACAGGGCAGGAGAGTTGATACTCACCTCTGAATGTAGCCGCTATCAGTTCCGGAATCTGGCCGCTTGCCTACAGAAAATTCGAGACATGATCACTGAGGCCAGCCAGACCCCGAAAGTGCCATCTAAAGAAGATGCAGTGCTTCGGAGGATCAGGTATCAGAAAAGACCCTAAACACAAAAAAATCCAAACGCACTGCCATCAAATCGATTCTGACTCATAGCAACACTGTAGGACAGAGTGGAACTGCCCCATAGGGTTCCCAAGGCTGTGAATCTTTATGGAAGCAGACTGCCACATCTTTCTACTGTGGAGCCTCTGGTGATTTCAAACCACCAGCCTTTCAGTTAGCAGTTGAGTACTTTAACCACTGTGCCACCAAGGCTCCAGAAAAGGCCCTACGTTTCTATAAACTGAACCCTGTGGATGAGAGGCTGCACAGGTCATAGAGGAGGCAGGGTAGAGTCCCAGACCTGCCAGCAGAAGGTGGAAAAGCTCCAGGAAGGGAGGAAGACTCTGACCTGGAACGAGGGGCAGGAGCTGGCACCTGCTGATTTGGCTGCTCTGCTTTCCATGGAGCTCCAGTGTCTCTCGCTATTTTCAAAAGCACTGATTGGGCATCTGGGCCTAACTGTGGTCTTTTTGTTTTCAGGACAGAAAACATGAATCGGGAAAGGCTGCGACAAAAAAGAATAAATTCTGCCATCAAGACAAGCCGAAGGGTAGACATGGACTGAGATTACCCCTGCAGCCGGCAAAGACCACTCTGCAAGGTGTCCGGGCAGCTGCAGCTAAGAGTCCTTTAATACCGTAAAGAGATTTCTTTCTTTTTTGTTAATAGTTGTCTATAATATTAGAGCCACCACGAGAATGTTCATTTGGAATGAAGTTGCAGGCAATGGTTGTTTAGGTCTTTGTTGACAATCATCATGTTGTCAAACCTTAATTATCCATTTAATGTATTAGCTGCAATAAACTTTTAAACTTTAATAGGCTTCCTTTCTCATTCAGAATGCTTGAGAACAGAATTCCTACCTTTCTCTCAGTTGAAGTCTGCCTAACAATTACTCGTTCGCCACTGACTGTATGTCGCTGTACGGGGGAAACAGAGGAATGAGCTCTGGTGTCTGCCCTCAGGGAGCATGCAGTCAGGTAGAAGGGCTGAGTGGACGTTTGAACCGGACCTTAATAGGTAAAGAGGGGAGCGGGACATGCCAGTTGAAGGGGACAACATGATAACGGAGGCAGGAAAGAGGCCGGTGTGGGGAAGGCGATGAGAAGCCAGTAGTGCTGAATGGCATATTGTGCAGAGGGCTTGTGGGAGATAAGTGTGGAGAGGAAAATGGAGGCCCAGTGTGGAGAGCCTTGAATTCAAGTTAAGGAGTTTAGATTTTATGAAACGTAGGTAAACAGGGAGCCACCGAAGGTTTTGCATGAGGAAGGCATACCATGTGTTGGGTGCTGTATTGGGCAGTGGGTTCTTGGAGGCAGAAAAAGAGCGAGTTGGAATTGGGAAGTGATGTTTGCAACAGTGTGGGCATGGGAAAGAGTACCTATGCTACGTGATAGTAGTGAATTACTCGTGTGTATGAATTTCTTAGAATATTCCGTATTATTTTGATCTAGCTTACTTGTTTGAAAAATAGTGTGATGATCCAAATGCAAGGTGATGAACTGTAGGAGTATATACACTTTACCTGAGCAGGGACCTCATCATTCATTTATAAATGACTTTTAAAAAATAACAAAAGACCTGGAAGACATGGTCCCTGCCCTCAAGGGACTTGGGGCCTAGTAGGGAGCTGAGGCTTATATGCAAGGAAGTGCAACCTTCATTGGTTCATTCACTAATTCAACACACATTTATGACTGCCAGGCAATAGGTGAAGTGATAGGGGATCAACAGTGAACAGAACAAAGACCTTTCTTCTGGGGAGTTCACATTCCAGTTGCAGGGAGAACGAGAGATCAGGTGATGATAAACGCTGACAAGAAAAATGAAGTCCTGTTACAGTAGCAGGACCTCAACGGAGCAAATGACATAAGAAAGGCCTGAATAACTTGGGAGAGTGAGAGGAGCGACTGGTCCCAGCAGGCGGCTCAGAGACATTCCCAGGAAACTCCCCTTACAGCCGATGGGCTGATCAAGTCACATCGCATCTTGGAAGTGATTACATCATATCACAACATGGAGGATAACTATGTCATTACATAACTGCCAAACCCCTGAGAATCACGCCCAGCCAAGCTGACACAACCTTAAGCATCACAAAGATGTACTTGAAGGAGCTGTTGTTTGAGATGGGCCTGAAAGAGGGGAGGAGCTAGCCATGGAGCGAGGTAAGACCATGTCATTGGAAGCTCCAGTGTGGGCTAAGGGCAGGGCTAGGAAAGTATCGACAATGCCAAGGCCCTGTTTGTGACTGGGACAGTGTATGTAGTGATTGAGAAGAGGGGCTTTGAAGCCACCATCCCCCCAGCTGTGGGACCTTGGGCAAATTCTCTGAACCTTAAGTTCCCTATCTATAAACTAGAGATGATGTTACTAGTTCCTACCTCATAGGATTACTGTGGAATTGCAATGAATAAATAAGTGATTAACGGCACATACCAAGTGCTTAGGGAATGTTAACCATCATTAATAGCTCAATTTGGCTGGAACCCAGGGAACAAGGAGCTAAGGCAGTCAAGTTTGCCACGGTGAGTGGGAGCCAGATCCAGGAAGGTTTTAACATGACAGCTAAGACATTTAGACTTTACCTGCAACAAAGGACGCCAGGGAAGATTAGCCTGGCCATGACTGAGCAAGGAATGGCTGCAGAGAAGGGGCACAGGTTGTAGACTGACCCAGGTGAGCCGTCAGGGACCCAGTGGCAACCGGGATGGGGAGGAAACAACAGATGCAAGAGGGCTTACGGGCAGAAGATTGGCCGCAGTGGTGTGGGAGCAGGTGTGAGACATGATGTGATGCCTGGGAGGATGGCTGGATGATGAGTGTGGTTTTGTCTGTGAGGAGTTGACTCTGTGGGGCCTGCGGAGGAACGTTCCAGGTACCATGCCAGGAGAGGGGGTGGAGCCCTGGAGCTCAGGAGTGAGGCTGGATCTGGGAAATCCACGACAGAGGGGGACAAGTGGGGTCTTGGGAATGGATGGGAGGGAGGCAAGACAAGCTTGGGGGACGCATGGGTTAGATGGTGGAGGTAGGAGAACAGGAAGGAGTGGTCCGGGATGAGGTGGGTCCAGGATGGGGTCGGCCTCCCTGTAGGTCCCCCCTGGCACACAGAGGCCCTCAGAAAACACCGGTGGCATGTGAAGTGACCTGGAAAAATAGTTAAGACACGGAGGGGAAACAGAGAAACGAAACAGGCTGCTATGGACAGAGTAGAACACAGAAGTAGGACCCACCCTTAAAAATAAAATAAAAAGACGATGGCAAACGAATGAACATGGATGAATCTCACAAACATAACGTTGTGGGAAAGAAGCTAGACGTTAGAGAAGAGTATGATTCCATTTATATTAAGTTCAGTACCGGTCCGCGTCCTCCGCACCGCGGTCGGCACACAGCGCCAGCCCAATGAACGCGCGCCTGTCTAGGCCTTTTTTAGAAGAGGCCGGACCTTCTGGAACAGCCTATTACAGGAAAACACGCCACATTCGTGCGCCGCGGGCCCCAGTGGCCTAATGGATAAGGCACTGGCCTCCTAAGCCAGGGATTGTGGGTTCGAGTCCCACCTGGGGTAGTTTTTTTTTTGGTCTGGTTCCCCCCCGGGAACTCGCCTAGCTTCGCTACCGCTCCGGCGGTTACACCTGAACTCTGGAATCGTCCCCACCCACTCCCGCCGTCCCAACTCCGGTTTCCTGCTTTAAACTCGCAGGGGCGAGGACCGGGGCGAGGGCGAGAAAGGCCTGAAGCGCCCTTACAACTGCGGGCTCAGGTTGCGGCCGGGGTAACGCCCATCCTTTGGACAGCTCGAAGACCGGGGTAGTGGAGGGTTTAGGGCGCAGCGTGTTCCTAAGACACCCAGCTCCGTGGCCCTCGCCCAGCTGGCGGGGAAGCCCAGAATCCGATTGGCAGAAGGAGGTGCCGGCCAGGGGGCGCCCCGAGACGGGGACAAAAGACTCGCAGAAACCTACTAACTGCGTTGTAAGAGAAGGCTGGCGGGGCGGCGGGGACAGTGCATTGAACAGGCTGGGAGCAAACAGAGAACCTGTGTCCCCGCCGCAGCCCAGAAGGTGGCGCGGGACAGGGAAGAAACCTGCGCATCCCAGCACCAAAAGCTCTCATCGTAAACCACCCCAGGTGGGACTCGAACCCACAATCCCTGGCTTAGGAGGCCAGTGCCTTATCCATTAGGCCACTGGGGCGCGATTAGAAGCCTGCTCCACGTGGTCGGTGGTACTGCCCACTGAGGCGCACGTGCCGAAACGCTGGACCCCACAACGCCGCTGGCACCCGGCGGAGCCCGGGACCACGCCGGCCCGGGACCACGCCGGCCCGGGACCGGGCTGACAAGCGGAAGCCCCCCCCTCTGGCACCATGTCAGCACGTGCTGCACGAAAAGCAGGAGTTCCAGGCCAGGTGATGGGACAGTTATCGGTTCGGGCAAAAGGGCGCCCAGTTGGGGCGCAGATGGAGCCAGTGTCACGGGGCGACCAAGCGGGCTGTTGGAGCCAATTAGGACGCGGACCAGCGAGGGAGGAACGAGCCCACAAATAAAACCAGGGCCGCATTGCTGTCCCGCACAAGGACATGGGCCACCCGCTCAAAAGGAGAAACCCGCGAAAGGGCGCGGACTCTTAATCTTCTGGCTCCGGGTCGGACGCTGTATCTGTCAGGCTATGTAGCCAAACGAGTCGTCAGGCTGCCGCAGCTCCAGTCAGGTGCTGCCTCAAAGAGGTGGCGTGCGGACGACTCGGAGGGATGGGGAAGGCGCGCTTCGCCGCAGGGAGTGTCACAGGCGCGGCGGAGGCGGGAAGCGGCAGTGTCACTTCCGGGTCTGTATTAGCGGTGGTGCGTTCTTTGATCACCAAGTAGTTGCTCCGATGAGTGTCACTTCCCTGGGAGACCGCGTGGCCTAATGGATAAGGCGTCTGACTTCGGATCAGAAGATTGAGGGTTCGAGTCCCTTCGTGGTCGAGAGATATTTTAATACCGAGGAGAGGTGGGAAGTGCAGTTGGTCCTGTGCTTGTTTTAGACATAGAAAGGCATCTCTCCGCAAGACTGCTCCCATGTCCTGGAAATGAGTGGGCGCTGGAGCCAGGTTGGGTTTTGCAGATGGATAATTGCGGAGGCCCCCATATGGGAGACATAGACGGCTGACGTCATGACAGCCCCGCGGCGCCACCGTCCAAGAGGTGTGTGATCGCCCAGCAGTTGCATACGTTTCCAGTAGCTTGCCGGATTGTGGGTTCCGGTCCCGGCTGGGGCTATTAAGTCGGTTGGGAATAAGTGGGAAATAGGAGAAAATGACTGGTACTTATCTTATTTTTATTTAATAGCTTTCTCTATGTTTTTTGGATGTTTCGTTTGCAATTAATTTACCTTTTCTTCTTTATGACGCCTGACTGGACTTTGAAAGGTAAACTGATACTAGGACAAATGGGACCTGATTCCTTGTTGCCTTTCTCAAAGTTGGTACTCAGTACCAGCTCAACATCCAAACGTCCACCTCGTGAAACTGCTCTGAAAGCTACAAATCCACATGCAAACGACACAGCGAGTGATATGCGAGCCCATCACTAGAAAGTTCAAAAGCAGGAGAAATTAATTGCTGCTATTAGAAGTCAGGTTAACGTTACCTTGCCGGTGAGGTTGTGAAAGGAAGGGGCGCTTCTGGCGAACAGATAATGTTTGTTTGTTTTTTTAAATCTGAACAGGTGTGTACCTTTTGTGAAGATTTAGAGCTGTGCACTTATAATTTGTGCACTTTCCTGTATATGTATATATTACTATATATTACCTTTTAATAAAATGTTTAATTTTATTAAAAATGTACTATTCAGGCCAGATTATTTATTTTACTTGAATCTCATAGCTCTTCAGGGAGTATCGGTGGGCTTTCCAGGTTAAGTACGTCACAGTATGTGCAACATTTTAGGAATAATGTATTTCCTTGGAGAGAGGCTGTATTTGTTTCATCAGAGTTTCATAACTCCTTGACTCAAAAAAAAGGTTTTAAATAATCACCATTCCTGTACTTTTGAAAAACACATACACACACAGAAACCAGAATAGACTCCTCCTCCTCTCCCCATGCCAGAGTCGCCCGGGATTCTTCCTGTTCTCTCTAACCCAAACCAGGCACCGAGTTTTGTAAATGTCTCTGTTTAAGATTATCTCTGGCTTCAAAGCCCTGCCACAGGGCTGCAGCATTTCCCTAGCCCGGACGGCGAGAGCCATTGCTTCTTTTCTGGGTTTCAGGCTTCACTTTTCCCACAAACCATCCTGCCTCCATGGAGCTCACATTCTGGGGAGAGACAACAGTAAACAATAAACAAGATGATTCAAAAATAAAAAAGATGATGACGGACTCTTAGTCGAGTAGTCACAGAGGCCTCTGCTTTAGTGTTTGCTTAGAAAAACCCTCCCACCGGAATATTATATAAAAATTCGCCTGTAATTTTTTTTTTTTACAATATATATATTTTTTTTATTGTACTTCAGGTGAAGGCTTACAGAACAAATAGTTTCTCATGAAACAGTAGTACACATATTGTTTTATGACATTGGTTAACAACCCCACAACATGTCAACCCTCTAACTTCTCAACCTTTTTTTTTCTGTGAAAATACACATAGCCAAAGATACACCATTTCAAAAATTTCTACATGCACAGTTCAGTGACATTGACTACGCTCTTCCAGTTGTGCTGCTATTCTCACTTAAGATGAAGGCTTACAGAACAAAATAGTTTCTCATTTAACAGTTACTACACATGTTGCCCTATGACAATGGTTAACAATCTCACAACACGTCACCAGTATCCTTACTCAACCTTGGGTTCCCTATCACCAGCTTCCTTGTCCCCTTCTGCCTTCTGGCCCTTGTCACTGGACTACTGTACCTCATTAGTCCCATTTGGTTTTACGGGGCTGTCCACTCCCAGGCTGAACAGTGAACCTCGGAGATAACTTCACCACTGAGCTAAAACGGTGTCTGGAGGCCATACTCTCGGGGTTTCTCCAGTCTCCTTTAGGCCAGTAAATCTGGTCTTTTTTTGTGTGTGTGAGTTAGAATTTTGTTCTACATCCTTCTCCAGCTCTGTCCAGAACCCTCTGTTGTGATCCTGGTCAGAGCAGTCAGTGGTGGTAGCCGGGCACCATCTAGCTGTGCTGGACTCAGTCCAGTGGAGGCCTTGGTAGCTGTGGACCATTAGTCCTTCGGACTAATCTTTTCCTTGTATCCTGTTCTCTTTATTCTCCCTTGCTCCTGAAGGGATGAGACCAGTGGAGTATCTTAGAAGGCCGCTCACAATGCCTGTAATTTTTGTTTATTGTGGGTTTTCTTTTTGGTACTGTTTAAATCTGTAACTGGAATTTATTTTTATTCCAGCGTAAAAGAGCTGTTTTTATTGTTTTTTAAATATTTGAACACTTACACCGGTGCGTTTCCCCAGTGATTCAAAATGCTACTTGGAGTATATAGTAAATACTTAAATAAGTATAGTTAATATTTATACGTTCAAGATTATTTCTGAGCATTCTGTTCTGTTCCATTGATCTAATTAGGTTTAGCTTTTTCGGATGCTTTATGTATGACAGTACTCACTTCCCATTACATTTTTCCGTCTTCTGTCTTCTGACCTTTCTATAATCAAGATGTATTTCATAGTAAAAGGTTTCTCAGTTTAATAGCAATTTAATGCCATGAATTTGCTTACTGTTTTGATATGAAATGTTCATATTTTTATTTTCCAAGCATTCTGTAACTACAGATTTGATTTCCTGAACTAGTTATTCAAGACAGGATAATGCCCTTTTTTGGTCCCTTCAATTGCCAGTAGGGAGATGGTACCCTCAGTGCATCCAACCTATTCTTGACTTTTATCCTTCTTGAATCTTTTTCTTTTTTTTAAAAGATGGACAATTTACAGCTGGATTTTGGGTCGACCCAGCTTGAATCTTTGCCTTCTAAAAGGGGCGTTTATCAGTTCATGATCATCACTGTTTGATTCTGTATTTATGCTATTTTTGGTTTTGCTTATTTCTATCTTTAACTTTTGCTATTTAGGATGTTTTGGGGGAGTTTGTGTTTGTTTCCCTCTATTGATTTGCCAAGCATAATCCTATTGAACTAGTAATTACTTGTATTTTTTAATGTAAAATTAATGCATGCACAATGCAAAAATGTCAAACAATCCAGGAGGGCATAAAATAAAAAGTGCCTCCAATCCCTTCCAAATGCCTTTGACCGAGCGCATATTTTCAGTTCTTCACTGTTGTTTCTTATAGTAAAACTTCCAAAGATTCTCCCTCAAATGCTAAAACTCTTCTCTTTGTTACAAAGCTTCGACAGGACTCATGTTGGTTCTTCCCTTGAACATGGGTTCTAATCACACTCCAAAAGCAACTGAATGTATTTTTCTTAGATTCTTCATATTTCCGCTTGGAAGTTGTCTGAATCCTTAGCTCTTCAGCTGCTTGGCTGGGTGCCAGTTCAGTGATTCAGCAGGGGGGAGGGGGCAATATTCATTTCTCTGTTTTGTGCATTAAAGGCCTTCTGGCACAGCTACCATTGAACACCTCAGGTTATGTTACGTGTGAAGCAGCTCTAAGAACCCACCCTGCTCTACTACATCCCATCTGCTACTGATCTCCTGTCCTTACAGCTGAGGGATGATGGCACCCGGTTCCCCTGTTTCATCCTCTATGACTGCTGTGCTTTCTTCAGAGTTGTCAGCCATGTTGCTCTGCCCAAGTCCACCAGCAATATTTGGCAGAAATGTCACAAAGTTTTGGCTTGTGCATGCTATCCTTCCCTACGTAGGCTTTTCCTATGGGATTTAAGCCATACCAACTAGTATGTGTATGCTGATCACTTTCTTACCTAGAAACTTCCCAGCTTCTCATTTAATTCTCATGACAATCCTGACGTTTGTAAACTCCCAAGACCGCTGGTAGTCTCAAGTCAGAAATTAGGGGATGAAGTGGTAAGCATACCAGGTCCTGACTTCAAGGACGAAAGAATTCTTTCCATCATCTCCTCCCCTCCCTTTTTCTTCCCCTACTCCCCTTACTTTAAACCACCCCCATTTTCCTGGCATTGCTCAGTTCTGCTAGTAAATGGTTTAACAGGACTTTTAAAAAGGAACTGGTCCAGTTCAAGTTTTCCACATTGAAATACAAAGCCGTAATGGGTTTTAACTTTGTGACAGTTTCCTTTTATAACACTTTTACTTTCAAAAGCTGGAGCACGGAAGAGTGAACCCCTGCTGCTACTCAGCCTGCTGTTGTTACACTTGCAGCCTGGCCCATCTGTCCTTGTGACTTACTAACGGACAGTAGAAGGGAGCACTCCCCAGGAACCAGCCGTTTGAAAGCAAAGAGGAAGTTCAAGGGAGTCAATAGATGAATAATGATTCCTCTTTACCAGTGAAATGGTCATAGATCCTACTGTTATGTGTTATGAAGATTTCAGCAGCTCTGGGGGTGCAGTGGTTAAAGCACTCTTCTGTAAAGATTACAGCCTTGGAAACGCTACGGGGCAGCTCTACTCTGCTCTACAGGGTCGCTATGAGTCAGAATCAACTCAACGACAGTGGATTTGGGTTGTTTTTTTTTGGTGGGGTGGGGGCTCCTACACATCCTGATCATACACAACTGGACCAGCACCCACCTTCAGGCTCACCTTTCCATTTGCGATCACATGGCAAGAGAGGTGTAACTATCTCAACTGCAGAGAAAAAGCAGACACACAGCACCATAGAATTATTTTTATTTTTAACGTTCAGAGTTTGTTATATGAGGGCCAGAGCTTCCTCTCAGTCTCAATTTAAAAATTTTCAATTGGCTGGTGAGGCCAATAGGGATACTTGGTCTTGTCTAATCTGGTTTCAGGGAAGGCTTCGTTCAAGTCGTCGATGGTCATCTGGTCAAATGGAATAATGTTCCTCAACTTCTCCAGCTGGAAAGAACAGAAATGGGTTTAGTTAAGGTAAACAGGGCCGCAGAGATGCAAAACCAGAACCCAAGGCAGGTTACTGACACTAGGTGAAAGATTTGTGCCCACGGAACAGACAAAACCTATCCTGTAGGCAAAGCCAGGTCTCGCACTTACCTGTTTCTCGTACTCCCCAATCCTAGTCTTTGAGACAGCCAAAAACTCAGCACAACTCTTCACCTTTAAAAGAACAGAAAAATTCTGCTTTGAAACCAAGCTTTTGCTGTCCTGACCCGGAGACCCCCAAGGTTTAAGGAGTCCCAGAGCCCAAGCTTCCTTTCCCACTGCTCTAGAGAGGAGCCAGTCCCTGGGGGGTGTAAACAGTTAACATGCTCAGCTGCTAACTGGAAGGTTCACCGTTAGGAGTCTACACAGAGGCGCCTCAGAAGAGGGGCCTGGTGATCTACTTCCAGAAAGTCAGTCACTGAAAACTCTACGGAGCACAATCCTACTCTGACAAATGTGGGGTCACCATGAGTTGAAGTCAACTTGACGGCAACTGGCTGGTTTAGAGTGGTGGCCCTGACTACTGGGGAGCTCTTGCTTTGGGAAGAAAACCCCAGCTTTTCCTACCAAGTCACAAAGAAGCCCATGCAGGAGAGCCAGCTTTCAGGGGCGGGACCAGGCTTCAAGTTACTCATCCAGGTAACCTAGCAAATGCCTGCATTTTGTAGGGGCCAGTCACCATGAGGCCTGGCCTCTTTCAGGGTCAGGACAAGCCCCTTGACCACCTAGTCAGATTTCCTTTTGGTGGAGCAACCTGGGTTCCAACGCTTGGCCTTCTGTACTTTCAAGCAAGTAGTTAGGTATTTGAATACTCTCTTGGATAATTCTTCTACCCATTTCCCACTTCTTAAGTGTTTTTAACAGCTTTATTAAGGTATAATCGACACGTGATAAAATATACATATCTAAAGAGTACCATCTGATAAGTTGTGACATACGTGAAGCCATTGCCACGATCAAGATAGTGAACATATTTATCAGCCCTCTCCTCCCATTCCCAGCCAACCACTGATCTGCTTTCTGTCACTACAGATTACAATGAAACCTGCGAGCCAGAACTCAATGGGACTGCCTTGTTTTTCCAGGTCTCGCAAGTTTTCCACCTTTGACAGGGTGCAGTCGCCACTTTTCTATCCCTATTAGTGGAAAATATTTGGGTTTTCCTTCTCGAACAGGTTTCCGGCTTACACAGGTTCCAACTTTTGTAGGTTTTACTGCAGTTGCATTTTCTATAAACGGAATCATATGGTATGTACTCTCTCTTTTTTTCTTTTTGGCTGCCATCTTTCACTCAGCAGAATTATTTTGTAATTCATCCGTGCTACTGCATTTGTAATTGTTCATTCTTTTAAACTGCTGTCCATGCCTTAATTTTCAATTTAATTTAGTCTACCTTAACTTAGCTGCTAAGAAATACAGAGCTGTCAGGCTTAAGAAAGTTTTAGAATAAATAAGAGCCTCGACTACTTACATCTTCTTTTTCTTCAGCATCCACCAGGGCAGTGTACTTATCCTCTGGCACAGGAATCTTCAGGGCATTGAACTGCAAACACAGGGACTGTGAGTGGTCGCCAATATACCCAGAAGCCCAAAGTTGGGGCTCAGCCATTAATACTGAGAGTTCATATAAAAACACATTCTCCATCCCAACATGAAACCAGGATGTTTCTAGGTGTTAGAGTGGAAAGAATATTAGACCAGGAACAGGAGCTCAAAGTTCTTCTCAGCCCTGTCACTAACTGTGGACCCTGGATAATTCTCTATTATGATGAATGCAGTTTCTTCATTTGAAAATGACAGCTGGGCCCGGACCTCTAAGATGACCTCTCAGAACCTTGCAGTTCTAAAGAAATTCTGGCTTCTCTTTTAAATGAAACCCTAGAGGACTGACTGGCAGCAGTAATGTTTGCATGATGATCAAAGACTGTCTCCTTGGAAGACAGCTCAGACTTACAGCACCAGCGTGCAGCCCTGTGCCCGGCACAGACAGGCCGTCGATAAGCATACGCTGACTCAATAAACAAATGGACTCTGGATACTGAGGACACATGTGAGTATCAGAGAATAGGTGGATGAGAAATCACAGCTCTCGGGGACAGTAAGAAGACAGAGCAGAGCAAGAATAAGAGTAGTAAAAGGATAAAAAAGATGTTTGTTAGTTTCCAAGGGAGACAGGTGGGAGGCTAGGAAGGAACTCAGGAAAAGCTGTGCAGAAACAATCTGACAGCCCTTCTCTGATGAAGGCTATCGTGTACCATTTCTTTGGATAAGAATCCTGCTGAATGAGCAGACTCTGAATTCTCTGCACTTATTTGCCATTAAAATCTACCACCCCAAGCTCTGGCCACGCTCATCTTTCCTGAGCTTCCTTTAGATTCTCAGTGGTAAGCCCATCCTTCTTTCCTCGCTGTCATCCTGCACGTGTAATCATCTACCTTCCTCTTCCCCACGCCCAGGGCACGTTAGGAGACCACTGCTCGAGTTGTCTGAAGTCTCACCTTCTTCTCAAAGTCGTCCACTAAGCCAGCCTTGGCCACGTTGGCCTTGTAGTAAGCCCAGTCGATAGCTGGTGGCTTCTCAGGTACAGCGGCCAACCTGCTCACATGGGAAAGCAAAAGTTAGGACTGTTCCATGAGCAATAGGAAATTCACACATTGGTTTCCCTATTTCTTGTTCTTATGGCCTGAAGCCACCATCGTGCTTTTCTCTACGAGGGAAATCATGGAGATGCAAAAAAAAAAAAAAAAAAAACAACAACAAAAAACTTTTATTTGGAAAAATGCATGGATTTCTTTATACTTCCTGTCAGAAGAGCATCAGAAATTCACATAGAATTCCGAAACACTGTCTTATTTCCAGATACAATGGCAAGTAAGAGGCTCCCTCTCCGGAAGGTACTGACCTGGAGGTGAGGGTCTCATTCCAGGACCTCAGGGAGTTGGCAACAGTCTTTTGGTTTCGGGGTATGATCTCCCCAAAAGCTACCCAGTCAATGGCTTTTAAAGCAAGTTTTCGCCCAGCCATCTTGGGATCCTGGAAAATAAAATAGGTCAGATCAAAACAGAGGGTTCTTGGAAAGACTTCTGTAAAGAAAGGCATCTTAGAAAACAGGCAAGTCTTTAAGATATAGATCAGTATCCTCTAAGCACCAGTGGGTATATTTATCAGCTAAAGGAATCAGGGTGACTAAAGCTGAGAAAAAAAGGATAGTTTAGCTTTTCAAATTCAAGGTGTGCCACCTGGCATTTAAATATATTCCCTATCATCCCTCTACTCCCCAACTCCTACTCATCCTTAAAAGCCCAGATCTCTAGTTTTTGCTCTCCATGTATCTCTGGAAATGCAGCTAAACTAACACTCATGCATTGCATAGAAGTTAATAATCTAGATATATTTCCACTCAGATTGTGTTTTATTCGCTGATTCTCCAGTGCACAGAACCTGACACACACCCAAGGTTCAACAAGCCTTAAAGAATCAGCGTCAGAATGTCCTCATCTATAAAATGAGGATAATTCAGCTCCACTCACCTCAGCTGTTAAAAGTATCAAATGAAATTGTACACATCAACTCGCCCTATAGTCTTGTACAAACTTAAGGGGCTCTCTGTTGTTGGGTGCCACCCAGTTGGAATTGACTCACAGTGACCCTACAGGACAGAGCAGAGCTGCCCGATAGGGTTTCTTAGGCTGTAATCTTTACAGGAGCAGATCCCAAGGTCTTTTCTCCCCCAGAGCCCTGGTCGACCTTTTGGTGAGCAGCTGAGCGCTTAACCACTGTGCGTCATCAGAGTTCTTACCCTTCCCTATGAGATGGTAATACACTTGCACTTTCTTACTTATGTCTGATTATCCCCTGAGGAACTAGCACATGTCCTGCATTTGACAACATAAAATACATATGTGAATGTAAAAGAAAACGGTTACAGTCGTTTTTTAAACCAAGAAAGAATATGGGAAAATAGTTAACTTTAAGTAAGATCTTGGACACGGCACTATTTCTCATCAGTGTCAAAGATCAAGCTAAGCAGTAGCTCAAAGGGAAGTGGAAGAAATCTTTCTCAGGATTTTCAGAAGAAACTTATCACACACCTGCCTTTCCTTTCCAGGGTGGCTTAGGTTTCCTGGGGTGGCAGCGCAGGGTTATAGGAATTGGCTGGTGATTTTTAAAGACACCAGGGAACCAAGCGCCCTTACAGAGACTTCCAAGCATCAGTAGACGATAGACTTCGTGAACAAAGCGATTTTTGTCTGTTTTAGTCACTGCTGAACCCCGGCGCCTAGAACATGTCATGGGACATAAGAGGTGCTCAACGAATACTTGTTGAAAGGATATATGAATCCTGCGCCTGAGAAGCCCCGAAAGCTCAATCCGCTCGAATCCTGCAACCCTCAAGAGGAAGCGGAGCGCGCAGAACTCCCAAATGTCCCTAAACAAATTACCTACTATCTCCGTGTAATGCTTCCCCACCTCCAAAAAGGATCTACTGAAGACTGCCGCGCTGGGGGGTGGAATAAACGAGACAAAGTTTATGGGAGCGCCTAAAGGAGAGCCGGCCAGGACACAGCCGGGCCCCTGCGACCTCGCGAACGGGGGAAGGGAAGGGAAGGCAGAGCAGAACAAAGCGGTAGCAGCTACACACGGGGCGCTCGGCCAGCTGGGCAACCGGAGGGCCCGGCGTCCTCGGCGGGGATACTGCAAAGTTCAGCGCGAGCCTTAGAAGCGGCAGAGCAGAGGGACACGCTGGGACTGGGATGTAATACCGCAAACCTCACTCACCTTCACCGACCCCGGAGACCCACGGCCCTAGCAGCAGGTAACGGAAGTGGGTCGCCGGAAGGCCTCCCCTCAGCCAACCGCAAAGTCAAAGGAGCGGGTCTTGCTTTGCACATCAGCCAATAGAGATCGGGACTGGTGTCGGAAGTCCCGCCCAGGAGGGCGGGCACAGCGCCTCCACTGCTCGGGTCTCGCGACTCTGGTTGGGGGCGCTCCCGTCTCTCTCCACCTGCCCCACCCCCGCCGATGGGCCGGCCCGGCTCTCCCTGCCGAGAAATGGGCAGGCCCGGCGGCGCTCGGGCAGCGGTGGTGGCGGCGGCGGCTCAAGATGGCGGAGCTGCAGCTGGACCCGGCGATGGCGGGGCTGGGAGGGGGTGGCGGGAGCGGGCTTGGCGAC